TGTGTGTGTGTGTGTGTGTGTGTGTGTGTGTGTGTGTGTGTGTGTGTGTGTGTGTGTGTGTGTGCGCGTCCCGCACTGAGTTCTGGACACTGCAGACCCGACTCAGACTGGGACAGAAGCCTAAACCTGTCTGCCACTGCCATGATTGTGTTCAATCTATGTTCTGTTTGCAAATCTTTTCTGCTGCATGTGATGATTGTTGTCAATTATCAATTGCTAATTATGGAATCTGTTACTGGCTTGTTTAAGATCCGTATCGAGCTACTATTTTGCTAGGTTACCAGTCCTCTGATCGCAGGACGCCCTGGCCGGATGTCTCCGTTGGACGTCCTGGGTGGGAGTTGTCCGGGATCCCGGACAACTTGTTTTCTCTCAAATTGAAAGCGGGCACAAAAAAGGGGGAAGGGTCTGTGCTCCACGTGAAGACCCCCTAAAAAAATACAATTCTAACCATTTCGAGCAAAAAACATGAAAAATCAAAAAAATGGGGAAAGAGGGTGGGGGGTTGGGGTGTGTGGAGGGTCCTCTGCTGCCGATGCAGCAGCTGGTGCAGAAGGTGCACCTGCAGCAGGGGCAGCAGCTGCTGCACCGTCTGCTGCAGCAAATGCAGCAGGTGCGCTAGCTGCAGCATCTGGTGCAGCAGATGTACCAGCTGCTGCAGCTGCAGCAGTTGCCGCATGTGCTGCAGATGCAGCAGCTGCTGCAGCAGGAGATGCATCTGCTGCTGCTGCATGTGCAGCAGCTGCAGCAGAGGCTGTAGGACCTGGGGGGGAAGGGAAAGAACATGAAAATAGAAAACCGCTGCAGCGGCGGTGTTTATCTTTGTGATTTTTTTGTTCCTTTTTCATGAATTCAAATTCGATGAAATTTTATGACGGTATAACTCACTTTACAAAGAGTCCATAAGGAAAAAAAAAAAAAAAGAACTGTTGGCCCCAAAATAAAAGAAACAGGGAAAACGAAAACAAAAAACACAAATATTGACTCGGAGAGCATGTATTTGACACCGCCATCTTGCCGATCTTCATTATTGTTTTTCCCTATACCTCAGCTGATGTAGAAGTAGAACCCACAGAAAAAAATTCAGAAAAAACAAAAGATATTTTGGTCAAGTTCAGTAGGTTCGGACATAAGGGTCCGGGCGGACATTTGGCCTGGTTGTCCGGTCGGACAACCAGGACAGTCAGGGGGGTCCCTCACGTTTGCCCTGGTAACCAAGCTATTTTGTGACATCGAGGTTTCTGCCTATGCGTAGGATTTTGCCTATGCCGTACCGCTGCCTACGTATGGCCGTACCGAAAGACCTTTGGCTACCTAAGTACGCAGAACCCAACACCTACGAATCCCCCTCGGCGGCGGCCATCTGCGGACAAGTCCGCGGCCGCGGCCTAGGCCACGACCCCGCGGATGTGTCCGCACGGCCGCGCGGCCACGCGACTTTGCGGCATGGCGGCCAGTGGGGAGGGGGGTTTGGGATTTGGGAAGCGCCATGGGGCGGCGCAAACCCAGCCCCACCCCCTCAAAAAAAAAAAAAAAAAAAAAAAAAAAAAAAAAAAAAAAAAAAAAAAGAGGGGAAAAGCCCCCCAAAAAAAAAAAAAAAAAAAAAAAAAAAAAAAAAAAAAAAAAAAAAAAGGGGGGGTTTGTTGGGTGGGTTAAGGGAAAAAAAAAAAAAAAAAAAAAAAAAAAAACAGCGTATTTTTTTTCTTTTTTCGTTGATTGATTGATTGATTGATTGATTGATTGATTGGTTGGTGGGGGAGGGGTCCCCCCTCCCCCCAACGGCCCACACACACACACACACACGAAGTATTGTATATTTCCATGTTCTAGAGGAAGATTCATTCGATTTTGCTTTTTTTTTTTTTCATTGATCGATTGATTGGTTGATTGATTGATTGATTGATTGATTGAGTGGTGGGGGAGGGGTCGCCCCACCCCCCCGCCACCCACCACGCGCGCACACACACAGACACACACACACACACACACACACACACACACACAGGTACATCGGGCGGTTGATCGATGACAGGGACAGGGGCCCGGCCCGGGCTGACGAGGCGGGCTCTGTAATAAGTGCGGTGTTCTCTTTCTCTCGTCTGTATTGTTCTCGCTTTTATTGTTCGTTTTTCCGTCTTTTTCCCCCTTTTTTTACCATCTGATACACACGCACACAACCCCGCCCGTGCAATATGTCCTTTACTACTTCTTCGATCCCCCACCCACCTCCCCCCTGTTTTTCCATGCTTTGAATAAGGCGTGCCTCTGGTCACCCCTTCCAAAGGGCGAGATTAGGCACACCCCCCACCTGGAAAGGACCGAGGCCCTTTCCCGTGTGGTGGCCGCCCCCCCGACGACTCGGAAGGGTAAGGCAGGTACGTGGGGAACCGGGTGATGTCGCGCACTCAGAATAGGGTCGGATCGTGGGCTAGGCCGTGGACCGATTGTAACACGGTCCCGTTTGTTTAGTTTTCGTTTGCTGGTTTTGCTTGTTTCTCCCCCCCTTTTTTTCACATTTTTTTCCCGTTTTTCCTTTTTTTGCTTTTCTTTGCTGAGTAGGATCTCTGGAATAAACGGATGGATGTGTGAGGAGGCTTCCATCGGAAGGCCACGATCTCCGATGAAGGATGGGCTATATTAGAACCGGACGTAGGCAGTATTGTTCATAGGTCCGCCGTGTAATAATCGGTTCTGACAGGTGGTAGGGCGCGGTGCGTTCCGGTTTTGCGGGTGCTTGGGTGAGGCGGCGCGCGACATGGACTTCTTCGCCGACTGGGACCAGGTGGAGGAGCAACCGGAGGCGGAAGAAGCGGTAACGATCCTGGCGTGAGGCTCTCTCGTCAATTTTCTGCTGCCCCAACCAGACCTCGACTCTGCACCATGCAAACGGACGCGATATGCCATGCGCAGCCTGCCCTGCTCCCTCCGAGCTCGATCACGCCAACGCTGGGCGCCTACCTGACCCTCCTCTTCCTCCTCACCTTACTCCCCAACCTCGCCATTGCCTGCCTGCTCACGGCCGCTTGCCTCTCCGAGAGAATCTTTCTTTGCTCTTCCTCTAGGTGCTTCGCGCTGCTGATAGCGTGCACCATCTGCTTCATCTCCTTGTTCCTGGCCTGCTGCTGCTGCCTGTTTTTCACGATCGGTGCTGCTTATCGTTGGCGCGTACCAATTGAATAGCGCAAGGCGGAAGCGATGGAGTCGAAGATCGCAGCAGGGACATCTCCGCACGGTTTTTTAGCCTTTCTGTCTTTCCTGTCTTTTCTCTCCTTTCTGTTCTTCATATACTCCCTCCCTTCTCCCCCGCCACCTGGATTCTGTTCCCCCCTTCCCCCCTCCTTGGATTCCCCCTCCCCCGTCATGACCACTACCACCACCCCCGCCCCCCCTTGCCACGCCCCCCCTCGCACTTCCACAACCCCTCCACCTTCCAAAGACTATGGAAGATGCTCCTCCCCCCTCTGATGACGCCCCAGATGGCATGGGGCAGAAAAGCGCTTCAGGGATTTTCCATGCCCTCCCTGCGATTCGGCGAGATGGTCTGTGCGGAGGCAGGAGCACGATAGACCTGGAGGATAGAGCTGAAGCAGGGTTTCCCTTTCCCTGCCCCCCCTTCCCCCTTTTTTTCGACCCCGGTCCTTCCCTCGTCACCCCTTCCCGTTCCTGGCTAATCGGAGAGTTACGTGAATGGTACTTGGCAGCGAGGAATGTTTTGGCAATAATTGTTTTGGCGCTCTATTGAATTTTTGCAGCAATACGCGAAGTTTGTTTCTCTTCTGTCTATTTGCACTTTTTCAAGATGGACATGCATCTTGTGATCTGTGGTTGGATAAGACTAGGGGTGGCAGTGTATGACTTGCTGAGAATGCATGGGCGGTCTCGTTTTCGTTCTTTTTTTACTTTTTTACTTTTTTCTCTTGGGTGTTCCGACTTGCTTCTTCTCTTACTACGTCCTACTATCATCTTCCCCCGCCCCGTCCCCTCCTCACTCCGTGGAGAATAAGAGCGTATGGCGTCAGGATGATTGGTTGAGGGAGGGCACGCATGTTTTCTCCCTCTCTCCTTCTCTCCTTCTCTCCTTCCCTCCTTCTCTCCCTCTTTCTCTCCGTTCTCTGATCGGAATGATTGTATGTCTTATGATCCGTGCTCGGAATGGACTACGCTTGCGGATTGCATCTGTCGCTTCTTATGGGATGTATGGTGGCCCCTACTTCGGGTCTTCTTCTGTTCTGGTTTTCGTCCTGGCTCCTGTCTTCTCTCGTCACAGTCTCCCCCTTGCTCCTGGAGAAATAAGGTGTGTAGCGCCGGCAGTAGTTATTTGCATATTTAACGGAAAGGTTTGTGATATGCTGTATGTATGAATGATGCATGTGACCGTTTCTCTTGGAAAGGCAGACCTTCGCCCGTTTCCCTTAACGTCTTGCGCCCGTCTTGTGTGCCCACTTACTTTCGGCTAAACTGGCTTATTTCACCCTCGCTACAAAAGGACGCACGATTTGGCTTTACCCTGCCGCGTTTGCAAATCGCCTCCGCGCCTTGTCTGTTGCCTGCGGTGTGCCGACATGGTCGGAGCAGTACGGGTATGACGTGTCGTACCCGTGCGCATCTCATGTTACACACACATGTCACACACACACACACACACACACACACACACA